AGATGCCCCACCACTGACGAATGGATTAAGAAAATGTGGTATCTATACACAATGGAATTTTATGCAGCCATGAAGAAGAACGAAATGTTATCATTCGCTGGTAAATGGATGGAATTGGAGAACATCATTCTGAGTGAGGTTAGCCTGGCCCAAAAGACCAAAAATCATATGTTCTCCCTCATATGTGGACATTAGATCAAGGGCAAACACAACAAGGGGATTGGACTTTGAGCACATGATAAAAGCGAGAGCACACAAGGGAGGGGTGAGGATAGGTAAGACACCTAAAAAACTAGCTAGCATTTGTTGCCCTTAACGCAGAGAAACTAAAGCAGATACCTTAAAAGCAACTGAGGCCAATAGGAAAAGGGGAGCAGGTACTAGAGAAAAGGTTAGATCAAAAAGAATTAACCTAGAAGGTAACACACATGCACAGGAAATCAATGTGAGTCAACTCCCTGTATAGCTATCCTTATCTCAACCAGCAAAAACCCTTGTTCCTTCCTATTATTGCTTATACTCTCTCTACAACAAAATTAGAAATAAGGGCAAAATAGTTTCTGCTGGGTATTGAGGGGGGGAGAGGGAGGGGGGGAGTGGGTGGTAAGGGAGGGGGTGGGGGCAGGGGGGAGAAATGACCCAAGCCTTGTATGCACATATGAATAATAAAAGAAAAATTAAAAAATTAAAAAAAAATAAATAAAAAAAAAGAAGGAGGTGAAGGGAGATAAAGAAGAATGATGGAGAGGGTGAATTTGACTAATCCATATTGTAAGTACTTTTGTAAATGTCACAATGTACCTCCAGTACAACAAAATAATAAATTTTTTTAAAGTTGGAACAGTAAAAAAAATCTGCAATAGTCAAAAAACTGTATATATTTCTCCAGCTCAACCTTTATATTGTTCTTTTGGAAGTTCTCGATCTCTGATCCTTTCTCCCACTCCCTCCCCACACACTATTTCTTTAAGTACTCTGGAGTTGGATACCATATTTTCTCTTTAACTTCCGTTTTTTGCATGGTGAAAAGATTTATACTTAGTATGTATCTACTTTTGAGATCAGTTTGAGGTTTGGTAGCAGGGGACTCTTGTTTCCTGGTTGAATTTGTTCTGCTTCTCCAACCTCCTGCCACACTCCCTGCCCCAGCAGGGACACTTGGTGGCTTTTGTCCTGACCTCAGTACGTGGTTTGTCAGTCGATCTCTACACTGACATCCTTTCCTCCATCCTCTTCTCCATCCACCACCACACAGCAGCTGGCCTGGTTTTACATCTCCAAGCTTGTTCTGCCATTGCTAGGAGAGGGCAGAGGGCTATGGAAGGTCCTGAGCACCAGACCTGGCGGACACCTGCCCAGCTCTAACCTGTTAAGGGAAAGCCTGCCCCTTCCTTACCATGACCGGGAAGATGATGGCGGCCACGGTGGACTTCAGGATCCAGAGCACCGCCAGGCAGAGGATCTGCACCAAGGTGAAGAGGTGGATCCGGCGCAGGGGCACGTGGCGCAGGAAGGCGTGGTCTGGCTGGTGCTTGGCAGGCATCAGGAAGAGCTTGCAGCGTTCCCAGAACTGGCAAAGACAGTGCAGGACTCAACCAGGCAGCCAAGCCATGGCGGGAGAGTGGGGGGCAAAAGCCTACTGGAACCAGAGACTAGGGGAAGGAAAGTCTTGATGGGGAGCTCAGAGAGGGAACCCAAGGGCATACCTTAAGATGCGCTAGAGTTGGCTACACAGATACTTAATGAGGGAGGAGGAGGAGGAGCACTAGCTGAGGGGACTAGCCCTGGAGATGGCTGCAAAATGAACGTGATCCATATTCAAGGAAAATGCAACTTAACTGCAACACAAACTATCCAAGACTCCTGGGATTTAATGGTAAATATAGACCAAAGCAAAATCTTTTCTTCTGCAGAGTTGCCTTAGGGAAGAGAGAGGGGGAGGTGTAGTAAAATGTTCACTGGCATTAGCTTGATCTGGGTTTTGAATTCTGAGCCTTTGTTTCCCCATCTGTAAAATAGGAATCAGAGGACCTAATTATACAGATTAAGTTATATGACGCCTGTATAGTTATATGAGTGCCCTGTATAGTTATTTTGTCTGGCACATAGTAAATGGTAGTATCATTGTTACTATTATTCTTTCACTGAATTAGGAAAGCATGCATTTGGGGTCTTGGTGGCATGGAACTTGACATGAAATGCTGATGCTGGATCAGGTTAGCCTGGGAGGGGAGACTCTTACCTGGATGCCATTCAGGGAGGCCACACCCATGTAGAGGAAGACTCCATACAGCACTGGCATGGGGATGTACTGAAATGAGAGCAGAGTTTTGGATTGGGTCTGGGTAGGACCTTGGCCACCTTGCTCTGGACAAAGATGTCTGCCAACCACAGCCATGGAGCTGGGGAGCTGGTATTTGGAGGAACTGAGTGTCCCAGAGCACATCTGCAGCCAGAGTGGGGATGGGGATGGAAGATGAGGGTCCCTGGGGCACCACTACTCCCTCTCCTCCTGGAGTAGCCAGCCCAGCATGCAGCTGTTCTCTTGCCTGTCCCCTCTCCCAGCCCTAAGGAAGCCATGTGGTCTGGCTGAAGACATTCCTTCTGAAAAGTGGAAAAGGTCCTCAGCTGCCCTCTGCTCATTCCTGCCAGCTCCTTCCCACTTCAGCTTCATCAGAGGGTCCCCAAAGCTACCCAGCTTGCTGGTGCTGGGGACCTTTGGTGGGCTGACCTACCTCAGCAGGGAGTACTAAGGACACATAGCAGATAACACACATCATACACAGATAAAAGAGAAGCCAAACAGAAGCATATAAAGTAACCACCATTAATTCTCATCTAACCACTAATAGCTTGGTGGGTACCCATCTTCCTAAACATGGATAGCAGTGGTTTGATTTTTCAAAAATGGGATTATATGTCCTACAATCATCATTCAAATCTTTAAAAGCCTTCCAAGACATCTGTCCACTGTCTAAGTTGTATTTCTGCTCCTTTTATCCTCTCCTTTACCTGTGCCTGATGGTTGCTACTGTAAACCAAGGCTGCCCTTTCCCAGAAAATCCCACTCTCAATGGTCATTGTAGAAGATGTTGGCAAGTACAAAATATGATGCCAACACAGGCTGCCCAACTTGTAAAAGTGCTATTTAAGAATATCAATAAATCCAACCATGTAAGTCACCTCTCTTTTAAGATAAGTTAGACGGTGTTTATTGTTTAAACACCTACCATGACTTGGGTCTAAATGCTGTAAACTTCAAGACATTTGAGCTAAAAGTAAAAAAAAAAAAGAATGAAATATATGGCCCTCACATTGCTCCTTTAGTATATAGCTTATGAGATTTTTTTCCTTATTAGGACACAAGGCAAAGTTTCAATGACTAACACTGTCCTAATCACCTTCAAAGTAAGGTAGCAATTGAGAGAAATAGAATCTTAAGTAAAAAACAGCTCTAATCTGTATAGCACAACAACACTAAAATGCGATCCAATTAGCACCGTCTAAAATTCATAGCATCAGTGAGACCTCCCTATTGTCTACACAAAAATTAAAGATTTCAGCTGTAGTGTGGTCTTGAGTAGACAACTCTTGTGTAAGTTCTCTCTCTTTCTCTGTCTCTGTCCCTGTCTCTGTCTCTCTCTCTCTGTTTGCAGTGCCCCCCAGGGATGACATCCAGGCCTTGTACATGTTAGGCAAGCACTCTACCACTAGGTTACACCCCCAAAACCCCAGTGTAAGCTCTGTATAGGTCTAACATCTGCTGTGCCTAGTTTGACAGATATGGGCAAACTTATACTTGTGAAAAGTAAAACAAGGTTTATGGGAAATTATCTTGATTGAAAATAAATGATGGGATTAAATCTAGGACTCAAATATTAATTAATTATGTTTTCTGTTTTGTTTTTGCGGTATTGGGCTACACCTTGAGCCACTTTACCAGCCCTTTTTGTGTTAGGTATTTTTGAGATAGGGTCTCTCAAACTATTTGCCTGGGCTGGCTTCGAACCATGATCCTCCTGATCTCTGCCTCCTGAGTAGCTAGGATTGCAGGCGTGAGCCACTGGTGCCTGGCAATTATGTTTTCTTGAACTGGCTACATCTAATTTCTTTTCGTTAACATAAAGTCAGCCCAGTATTTAGTACTGGTGTCAGCTAGTGGCAATGCTTTAATCATTTAACTAACACTTTTCTCACAGACCGAAAAGCACCTTTATGACACAGTTAAGATGGAGAGAGAAGGACTGATTTGCTTCTCCAGGCCTTGATTGTCTTCAGATAGAACTCTAGCTCCTTGCTCTTTAGTATAGCAATCTGCTTGCCTATACTGGCTGGGTCTTGATGCAATGCACACAGAAACTTGCCCGGCTGGAAATGTGCCTACAGAAGACAGCTGATTCCTTTTCCTTTCGTTAGATTTCTTTTGTAGCTTTTTTTTTTTTTGAGACAGGGTCTCAATATGTAGCCCAGGCTGACCTCAAACTTGTACCCCACCTGCCTCAGTCTCCCATGCCTGAGATTACAGACGTGTGTCACCGTGGCCAGCATTTCTTTTTAAATTTTCTTTGATCATCTTTTATTTAAAAATCTCTTCCAAGAAATTCAAATGGCCAAAAAACACATGAAAAAATGCTCACCATCTCTAGCAATAAAGGAAATGCAAATTAAAACCACACTAAGATTCCACCTCACCCCTGTTAGGATAGCCATCATTAGCAACACCACAACAACAGGTGTTGGCGAGGATTCGGGGAAAAAGGAACCCTCTTACACTGCTGGTGGGAATGCAAACTAGTATAACCACTCTTGAAAAAAATCTGGAGGCTACTTAAAAAGCTAAACATTGATCTACCATTTGATCCAGCAATACCACTCTTGGGGATATACCCAAAAGACTGTGACACAGGTTACTCCAGAGGCACCTGCACACCCATGTTTATTGCGGCACTATTCACAATAGCCAAGTTATGGAAACAGCCAAGATGCCCCACCACCAACGAATGGATTAAGAAAATGTGGTATCTATACACAATGGAATTTTATGCAGCCATGAAGAAGAACGAAATGTTATCATTCGCTAGTAAATGGATGGAATTGGAGAACATCATTCTGAGTGAGGTTAGCCTGGCCCAAAAGACTAAAAATCATATGTTCTCCCTCATACGTGGACATTAGATCAAGGGCAAACACAACAAGGGGATTGGACTTTGAGCACATGATAAAAGCGAGAGCACACAAGGGAGGGGTGAGGATAGGTAAGACACCTAAAAAATTAGCTAGCATTTGTTGCCCTTAACACAGAGAAACTAAAGCAGATACCTTATAAGCAACTGAGGCCAATAGGAAAAGGGGAGCAGGAACTAGAGAAAAGGTTAGATCAAAAAGAATTAACCTAGAAGGTAACACAAACACACAGGAAATTAATATGAGTCAACTCCCTGTATAGCTATGCTTATCTCAACCAGCAAAAACCCTTGTTCCTTCCTATTATGGCTTATACTCTCTCTTCAACAAAATTAGAAATAAGGGCAAAATAGTTTCTGCTGGGTATTGATGGGGTAGGGGGGAGAGGGAGGGGGCAGAGTGGGTGGTAAGGGAGGGAGTGGGGGCAGGGGGGAGAAATGACCCAAGCCTTGTATGCACATAAGAATAATAAAATAAAAAAAGTAAAAAAAAAAATCTCTTCCTCCAGGGCCAGGGACGTGTCTCAGATGGGAGACTGCCTGCATAGCAAATGTGAGGCCCTGAGTTCAAACTCCAATACTGAGACTGGAAGTTAGGAGATAGAAAGTGGTCAGGCAAAACAGGAACAGGGAGAATGTAATAGAAACTTACCAAGGACAGAGACAAGATAAACAAATGTGGGGAGTCTGGGGAGTCTTGAAACTACTCATCCAGGCCTTGAAACTACTGAATGACACGTGAGCCATGTCCTGATAGGATGTCCATCAGGTCACTGGACTTTAGGACCATTGGGAAGGGAAAGAGGGGCATGCACAGTGCCCCTGCCATGTCCATAAGCTGGCACAGATGTCCATTCTTTGAATGGATCAATAGTACAGAGACACATCCAGCTTCCCTTCAACCAAAAAATAAAACTCATAAAAACCACTAGACAAGGAGCCTCCAGGGTTCAGCCTTTCTGATATCTCTTCCATGTATATGGGAGCCTTTCTACTACCTTTCTTCTCTGTTTAAATAAAACTCTGCTGTTTTACCTATCCTGTTATCTGTGATTTTCATTCTTCAATCGCATGAGACAAAGTTCTTGGCATTCTGGCAGCTACTACAGCACACTGTGACCAGACCACCCACAAAAATATCACCAACAAAATAAAGAAAGAAAGAAAGAATAAAGACAGAGAATCTATTTTGGCTGGGTGCAGTGGCTCACAGCTGTAATCCCAGCTGCTCAGGAGGTAGAAATAGAAATCAGGAGGAGGGCAGTTTGAGGAGCCTGGGCAAAAATGTTAGCAAGACTCCATCTCAACCAATAAACTGGGTATAGTGGCATGTGCCAGTGGTTCCTCCTATTTGGGAAGTTATAGGTAAGAGGGTCATGGGACCAGTCTGCCCATGACAAAAACACAAGTTTCTACCTGAAAAATAACTAAAGCAAAAAAAAAAAAGTGACAGAGTACTTGCCTAGTAAGCATGAATACTGGGGTTCAAACCCGAGTACTGCCAAAAAAAACCCAAAAAATAAATTCTTCCTCCTCAGGAGTTGGTTTGTCCCCCTTCTTGTGGCCCAGCAGCACTGCACAGGTGGGACTAGTGCACTGTTGGTAGGTATGCTGATAACGAACATGCTGCAGTTCTTCACCAGGCTCTTGGTGCAGACCAGCTGGTTATGGGCACATTGTGGATCCTAGTTTTGAGAGTACAACACTCCAGGAGAAGTAACCCATATCCAGTGCCAGGGCACAGCACTTGTTGTTGTCTTCTCACACTTGCAGTGTTTGTATGCAGTGGGGCCAATCCCTGGTGGAAGCAGGACACTCCAGCTCATACTTCTGCTTTTTGTGATAGGGTTTTCTCTGTCCTGTCTGCAGAAATAGTGTCAGTTGTCCTCAGTGATGCCCATTGCTCAGCACTGGCTAACTAACAATTTTTAAAACCTATCTTTATAAAAAGGTATATACCTTGATAAAAATCAAATCAGAAATCCTAAATCTTTTGGTCAATAAAAATCTAGATGGTTCTGACCTGATACGAAATTTATCAAATAGGCTTTCCCCCATTCTTTTACTATTATTATTATTATTATTATTATTATTCATTTATTCACATGTGCATACATTGTTTGGGTCATTTCTCCCTCCTGCCCCCACCCCCTCTCCCATTCTTATTGTGCAAGAATATAAGTGAGCAGTTTTTTCAAATCCCCTCATGACTGAATGAAAAGATAATATCAAAGCAAATGCTTTGTGAGCCCTTGAAAGCGTTTTCATGATGGCCAGAGCAATATTAGAAATATTAGTATATTTCCCTATATCTGACACTTTAAGAACTATAGCAGAAAAGAAATTTCCATTATTGCTCAAAATATGGAACTATTTATTACTTGTCACCTAAGAAGGAACAATGTGACCATACTTTTCTTTCTTTCTTTTGTACTACTAGGGATGGAACCCAGATCCTTGAACATGCAAGCTCTCTGCCACTGAGCTACATCCTTGCCCCTTGTCTCCATTACTTTACTTGTACTGCTGTAGGCAGTATAATTCTAATGCTACCTACAGTAAGAGGATAGATGATACTAATGCAAAAACAGAAATTTACCAAAATCAGATGTCAAAAGTATGAAAAAAGCCTAGAAAATGTATACATAGGATATAATAATTGTGTTCATAAAAGAATTGATGACATTGTAAATTGAAAAAAAAAGGGAAATTCCTAATGGAATTTTCTGACTGCTTTGTGCTCCATTCCAATACACATAAAAGCCTGTGTGAAATGGCTGAATTGCTGAACACATTTAACAGCTAGGGCAGCACTCTGGGATCTCCTGAGATCTGAGTCTCTATTACAGGGGCACAGGAACTGCTGTGCATAGCATTTATAGGAACTTCAGGCCACTAAAAGTATGCTATTCTTAGATTCAAGATTTTTGACACAAATGCTTGTCACAAGCATTTGCCTGACACAAATGTAAGAACTGAAATACATGACAATTCTTTGGAGCCCTTTCCACAAAAGTAAATATTCCCTGGTCACCTAAAATACCATTTAAATAAACAAAATGCCTGCCCACAACAGAAACATTCCTTTAAAGTGAGCCAATCCTATACCTATTGCTCAGTGTGCCCAGCATTAATTTTTAAGCTAGAAATATTTGTTATAGTAAGTGAATCAATTACATGGTGGCTTTAGTCTTTTTTTTTTTTCCACAAGGTCACACCTGAATGAGCTGTTTTGAGATATTTAGAGGGGGAAAATAGTTGCAAAATGTTGGGGCAATTACAGGTAACCTTAATTCAAGAAAGAAAAGTCTTATTTGGGCATTAATGGAGGGAAAGGGCCATTGATTGGTAATTGAATACATGAAGAACAGAGACTGGATTGATCTGGTGGGAACATCCCATTCCTGACCAGAAAGCAAAAAGTTCTGGGGGACACTTGCCTCGAATGTACCCTTGCTGTAGTTAGTTTTTTTTTCAACTGGTTTGGTAGGAAATGAGTTTCAAACTGTCTGCCCAAGACATGCAAGATAGAGGAGAGGGAACAGACCTGGAGAAAAGCTATAGAGGCCTCCCTGCTGCAAGGTTTCTTTTCTTTTGTTTTATTTTTTGTGGTGCTGGAGCTTGAAGCCAGGGCCTTGTACATGCCAGGCAAAACCTCTACCACTTGAGCTATGCCCCCAACCAAGGTTTAAACTTCAGAAAATGAGCAAGCCCCAAACCACAACAATGTGAACACACCCAGCTCAGGAAGTTCCTGATCTAAGCAGGGACAGAACTTTGCAGAACTTTTTGAGGAAACAGTGTCATCCAGGAAGATGAGAGTGGACCCTGGGTGGGTTGGGAGACAGCAGAGAGGATCGGTGAAGACAACAAATGCTGCAATATTACAGAAAATGATGACAACTTTGAAACATTACTTTGGCCTAGTAAGATTCTGCTCTTTTTTTTAGTGATCTCTGTCTGGGCTGTGAGGCAACTCCTCCCTGCTCTTGAGGCCTTGGCTCTGTGCTTTCTCAGGTGTTGGTGCTCTGGGTGGGGTGCAGAGCCTCACCTTCAGGATGGGAGCCAGAAAGACAGAGATTCCCGTCAGGATGAAGACGATGATACCAGTCACTCTCTGTTCCCTGGTGGAGAAGAGTATGCTGTCAGGGGTAACAGGGAGATCCTCAGTGACCAGCCCCCTACTCCTCTCTGTGCCCTGAGGTTTATGTACATGTCAAAGGGGCTTCAGCATCGGGTTCTGCCTTGTAGCCTAAGGCCCTTTTGACCCCCATAGGGAAGAAAAGGAGCCACTGACCTAGGCCAGGGCATTAGGTAGGTTGTTCAATGTAGTGCCTAATAGTCAAGGTGCCTGAACCAGGCAGACTTGGGTTGAATCTTGGCTCTGCCACCTTCTTGTCGAGTGACATCAGGCAAGACAGGGAACATCTTGAGCCAAGTAGAATGGAGATAACAATGGAATGTACATCAGAAGGTTGTTGTCATATAAAGCACTTATTTAGCCTGCCATTTGGTGATAAGCTCCCACTCTTGTGGGCCATGACTAATGAGGATCTGGGGAAGGGCACTGTCTGTTGGAAGAGCAGGCATCAGGACTGGACAGATAGGTTTTCCTCAGTGCCCAGGCCCTGCCACAACACAGGTTGGAGCACTGAGTTCTGGGGCAGATTACTTAGATCCAGGGAATCAGGGGACTGGAAGAGGACTCTGTCCTGCATAGTCCCCAAGACCTGAAATCAGGCCAAGAGGTCTCACTCAGGGCAGGCCGGACAGCCCAGATGCCCCAAGGCAGAGAAGAGGAGCTCCCAGGAAGTCATTTAGGAGAGCGCTAGGGTCTGATGTGGACCTGGGACCTTATAGGGAAGAAATATGCTTCCCTGCCTGAAACAGCTTAGGACCTGACATGGGGCATGAAAGGTAGAGCAAACGAAGAAACAGAAACATATCAGGGCCACAGGTCAAGGGATTAGGGTAGTCCCAGGTAGGTTTTCTGGAGTCCAGGAAGGCTCCTCCTTTCTGGAGAAATGGAGATTGGGCAGGACAGGAAACCATAGGCAACCCGTGAAGGATTGGAGTGGTAGGGGCCTGGAAGGTCTGAGGAAAAAGACAAAGGGCAGAACAGGAAGAGGCCCTGCCATGCCCTATTAGGCGAGACTCTCTGGAGCTCATGTGTATTTATGGATTTGGGTATGTGTACTACTTGGAGACTACTGAGAAAAAAGTGCCACTTAGAATTAAAATTTCGTCTCTGTCACTCATTTTGGGATGTTATTCCTATCTCTGTGTTCCTGGGTTGTTAGCGTGTGGGCCCTTTTTGCCCAGGTTCTTTGATGGTAACCAAAGCTGCCCCCCTCCTCCAAGCTGGTAACTCATGTTCAGGTGATCCATCCCTGCCCCTTTTTACCTGACCCCCAAGAACTGGGGCTGCTCCCCAGGGGCACTGGTCTCCGTCTCCATCTTGAGGCTGTCGATGTGGGCGATGGAGATGACTGTGGCAGCCACGTACCAGGGAAGCCCCATGAAGGAGCACAGGGCCATGAGGATGCCTACCCAGAATAGGTCCAGATGGTAGCCAGCAGCTTTCTGCAGGGGTAGTAAAAGGGAAGAAGCTTCTGTGTGCCTTTCCTCCTCAAAGCAGCAATTTTGTGGAACATGGTTCAAGGGCTCCCCCTGCCTTCCAGAGTGTACCATGAGGGGGATGCCACCCTGAGGGGTTCCCTGTGAGGACTTCAGAGGTGCTGGCTTTCACCACCTCCAGAGGTAGCTTCAGTTGTCACCTTGCCTAAAGGGGTGAGCCAGGTAAGGGAAGTAGGTAATGGTGGAGATGGGTATTTAGTCTTGGAAAACCTCTGGGTTTGGGTCTCTGGGAGAAGGGTTCCTAACCAGGAGCCACAGCATCTCTGCAGGTCCTGGATGAAGAATCCCAGCTGGGGACAGGCCTTACACCAAGCCTAGAGTGGTCCAGAATGGGTTGGGGGATAGCTATCCTGAATTTCCTCAGACCCAGAGGCAAAAAGGGGAGTTTCAGGGATGGGGGGTAGAGCGGCTAAGGAAGCTCCTGCCTTGTGATTTTTAGATCTATCCCTCTGTCAGCATCTGCTTAAACTTTCAAGTTCACCATCAGGAGGTACACAGCTGGAGGAGCACTTTGGGAGAGGCCAGAGCCTGTGCCCAGGGATCCAGCTTGAGTTTGGTCCTGGTCCTGAAACCAAGTCACCTTGGCCCTATTATAAGAGGTCATCCCACCACCACCACCACCGCCACGACCACCGCCACCACCACCTAAACATGCCAAGTGGAAACTGGTCTTCTGCTCAAAGTATGGAAAAAAGCAACACCTCCCTCCATTCCTTCTGGCTTTGCTCCTAGGACCAGCCTTACCCTCAGCTTGTTCTCCTTTCGGTTGACAATGACGGCTGTAATCTGCTGGTCCATGAAGATCAGGATGGTCACCAGCAAGGCGGGCAGGATGCTCGCTGGGTATACCCACCATGGGTTCTTCCCAAAAGGGGCCACAAACCAGCCTCGGTCAGGCCGCGTGGGCTGAGTGGAGCAAACAAAGAGGGCCCTTTCCTCTCTTCCTTGGCCTGGGCACTTGCCTGCCAGCCCACTCTCCCATCTCCTCACTGTCCCCCCACCTGGGGTACCCTTCAAGTGCAATATTTTCCTTATGGACATTAGGCACCTGCAACTTTAGAGTAGAGAGACCACAGAGGCAGGCAAACAGACATGGGAAGGAGCAATAACACAGGTGGGGTCTGCAGAACCAAGGCAATAATTAGTTGCAACTGCCCTGGGATTGGTCAGGAAATGGAGGTGATAATCAGAGGGCAGCCAGGAGGAAGTATGCAGTCACTAATTGCAAAAGAACAAAAAGCAGAAATGAGGCCCAACAGGCAAAAATAAAGCATTTGATGGGCTCGGTGTCCGACGCTTACGCCTCTCCTGAGTGACCTATCTGGGAAGCATTGTAGAAAGAATTGTCTATAAAATGCCAAACATCAAGTCAGACTGCATGTCAAGAATAAGGGGTCATCTGTGCAGAAGGTGACATTTATCTTTTGTTATAGTTAAAGGAAAGAGGTACTTTTATTTTGAGGCCAACACAAGTTGTGTGAGATATGTTTAAGCTATTCAGGAAAACACTAAAATATCTTAAAAAGTCAAGCTCTCAAAGGCAAAGAGGGTACGTTCTAGAACCTGGGTTCCCTACTCTGCTACTCTGTTTAGATGATTGGTACACTTGTGAGGGAACAGGCAAAAGCAAATAGCATCAACTCTAGACTAATGGATGATTTCTGAAGCAGTGGTTCTCAACTTTGAGCATACCTATCTGTAATCACCTGGAGGGCTTATTCAAAAGCAGATCACTGGGTTTCACCCCAGTGTTCAATATTCCATAGATCTGAGGTAGGACTGAGAAATTGCAAGTTCCCAGGTAACAATGTGATACTAGTCCAGGGATTATACTTTGGGAATCACTGTTCTAAGGGAACATCTTCAACATATCTCAGTTGGCCCAGCTTATAGACTACTATAGGCCAGGGAACTGGAAACCCTCAAATAGAAGTCCAGAAGCTTCAGCTGGGCTGGAGGGTACACAATAGGATTCTATGATGAATGTATTCCCACCAACCTATCACAGCCCTCTGAGGCTATGCAGGAAGGGTGGAACACAGAGAGAAACAACAGGGTGTTTTGGCTGAAAGAAGTTTGGTGAGCATAGAGGAGAAAGGATCTGCAGTTGGTGGGCACGCAAAGTGAGTACCAAGAGCAGGGGCAAAGGACAAACCTTGATGACACTAGGCACATGTAGCTTGGGGGTTTCTAGGCCAAAACAGGCATCAATTCCACAAAATAGCAGGATGGAAAAAACAATGGAAAAGTCAGCCACCAGGGCCCGGACCTGCAGAAAAAGGAGAGGAGCAAGTAAGTGAATCACCTGTCCCATTCCAGGCAGACCTAGTCCTTAGGAGACAGAGAGGAGAACAGTGAAGGGCTGGGCTCTGAAATGAGCAAGATTAGACCCAAATCCTAGCTCTGTGACGTTGGGGAAGCATTCCACCTCTGAGCCTCAGTTTCCTCTGAGACAGAGTCAAGTATATTACCTACCTTGAAGGCATAAGTGAACTATTGGACATACAGAAACATTACGTTTCTGATATTTTCCTTGTGGATAGATACAGCTGTAGTCTCTGTATATTAATTTCAGCTTAATGTTTCCATTTGTTTCTTTATTCTACTGTTAATAAACGCATTCAGATTATTTTCATTTTTTCCTCTTAGAATCAATGTTTCTATGACTATTCTTTTTCTGGATAATTTTTCTGGAGTGTATACCCAGAAGTGGAAGTACTGGTCTGAATATCATGTCATTTTTAGCTTTATCAGAAGGGGCACATTGCTCTCTAAATTGAATGTACCTGTTGAAACTCCCATCCATCACTTTTCATCTCCAATGCCTGGTATTCCATGACCTGTATATGTTTACTCACATGGTGAGTGTGGCCTCATTCTTAGCAGCACTAAATTCCAGGAAGTAACAGAGCAATTTTTAAGTAATTTGAAGAAAAAAATTTGTTGGTACAGGAACTTCATACAACATGAATTATTTTTAATTCACATTGCAAGTAACAAGCAACAAATACATATGCAAGTAACAGACATTCTCAGAGGAAATCACTGCCGTAGCATTTTTAGATGAGGAGACTAGACTGGGGTGTAACTCAGTGGTAGAGCACTTGCCTAGATGAGAGGGGATTTAGGGAAATGATGGAAACTTGACTTAAGGGTACATTTGTGTTGCCTTTTTTTTTTTTTGGCAGCACTGGGGTTTGAACTCAGGGCCTCATGCTTGCTGGGCAGCCACCTTACTGCTTGAGCCACTCCATCAGCACATACCCTATTTCTTACTCAGTTTAGATATTACAAAGCTTCCTAATATGCCTTTTATTTAGCCTTCACAAAATATTGGGGAAAATTCAACTATTCATATCAAAGATTTCATTAATATAATAAGTGGTCATAATAATACTTTTTTAAAGAGGCTTTAGGAGAGTACACCTGGGGTTGATGGTGGGAGAGAGTTATTAAAATTCTTCCAAGCACTCCTTGCCATGGTACACCACTACTTACATGTACAAGTACTGTTGTGATTAACAAATGCTTTATTCCAGCCACAAACAGAAAATGAAATTAAAAAATAACACTTAGCATTTATAATAGCACAAAAGAATCAACTATCTAGGAAAAAAAATCTAACAAAAATGTTTCAGATCGCAAGGCCAAAACCTATAAAATGTTATATAGAGAAGATCAAAATAAATGAAGTACAACATGTTCATGTATCAGAAGTCTCACAATTTAAGATGATTCTAAACTTCATGTGGAAATGCAAGGGTCAAGATAATATTATTGAAAAAAGACAGATACAGAATTTGTTGTATAAGCTAGAAAGACTTATTGTAAGTTAAAGAATTGCAATTGTAAGTTATATAATTGAATACTGTGACACTAGTGTATAAATAAACCAGTGAAGCAGAATTAGAAAAAACAGGAACAGACTTGTCTTATAGGACCATTTGATATATGGCAAAGAAAGCCTTGCAAAACAGTGACAAAACAAACAATGGTCTTTTTTTAAAAGTACCTGGACAATTGGCTATTTATATAAAAACACAAACACTATCTCACATTATGTATCAAAATCAATTCTAATGAATTATGAATCTAACATGAAAAGAAAAAACAATGAAATTTTCAGAAGACAACAAAGGAAGGTAACTTTGTCCAAAATTTTCCTTGAGAAATATTTTTACTATATTCAATTACCATAAAATTAAAATTTTCTGTTAGTGAACAGATCCCATTGAAAAAATCAAAAGGGGGCTGGTGGAGTTCCTCAAGTGGTAAAAATGCCTGTCTAGCAAGCATGTAGGCCCTGAGTTCAAACCCCAGTGCTGCCAAAAAAAAAAAAAAAAAGACTTCATTATAAGAAAAATCAAAAGGCCAGTCACAGAAAAGACAGTTGTAACACATATCAAAAGATGATTTCTATTAATTGTATATAAAGAGCTCTTGCAAATCAGAAGGAAAAAGACAACCCAATGGATAATGTATAACAGATTTAAACAGACACTTTTCAAGAATAAGGTCAAATGGCCATATGACCAATAAATATCTGACAAGGTTTTCAACTTCATCAGTCATCAGGGCAATGAAAAATTTTTTAAAAATGGAATAAGTTACTACTATACGCAAAGACTAAAGATAAAGCTTGAAAATATCAAGTGTTGTCAAGGAATGTTAAGAAGGAAGCACAGTCCACAGATCAAAGTCTGTACTCTTAACTTATAAAACCCCATGGGCCAATGCCTACATGGTGCTCATCTTGTTAGGTGACGGGACCCTCAGGGGAGACTCAGAAGGGGCCTTCCTTAACAGTAGTCTGACTATAGATTTTTTTCTTACTAAGGTAAGGTCTTCCTTACCTTAGTAAGAAAAGGTAAGGTCTACTTACCTTAGTAGGAAAATATCTGCTGAATTTGAACTTCTTCAGAGTCAAGGTCATGGAGTATGTCCCGAAGAAAAGGATGAAGGACATAAGTGCCAGGTCTGGGATGAACTGGCATGAGTTCCCAAGCAGGCGCCCACCATAGCTGAGACATTCCTTCTTGCTCAGAAGGGACCAGTCCAGTGCTGTGAGGTTAAGGGGGTTGTACTGGAGAACAAGCAGAGGAGGGAAAGGGTCAGGACTTTCCTGGTAGATGGTCTGTTTCCAGGCAACCACACACCCACCAACCCACTGAGAGTCCCCAGCACTTCTGTCCACAAGGAAGCCCTCAACATCAGAGTGGTGTTCCTGGGACAGGCTGGTTTAGGGAATGACATGCAGGCAGCTCCCTGGGAAGATTTAAGCTGACATGTGTTTCTTCATTATGTTCTAGGATGCACAGCTTTGTTATCAAGGAGGAACAGTGCAGGAATTAGGGGGATGCCCTTTCTCTTAGTAGGCCTGGTTCCTATCCTAGTCAATCAACCATGGGTCCTGTTGACCCCTCCTTCCTCGGGTCTCACACTTATTCTCTTTTTTCCTTCCCATCTGTCAAACCCTTGTCAGTCCCCTCTTGGGTCATTTCAATCACTTCCTCCACTGGTGTCCCAGATCCTAAATCCAGGGCATGCCAAACAATGACATTTTGTATGGAAATATAAAATTAATATCCTTCGTATCTGTGGGTTTCACCTGTGAATTCAACCAACTACAGGTTGAAAATTCTTTTTCAAATTGTATCTGTTCTGAACATGTAGAATTTTTCCTTATTATTATCCCCTAAACAACACTTATAACAGTTATATAACATTTACATTGTATTATGTATTATAAGTAAACTACAGATGGTTTAGACATAGATTTATATGCAAATACTACATCATTTAATATAAAGAACTTGAGCATCTACAGATTTTGATATTCTTGGAAGGATAATTGTATTTACATATTCCTAACAGTAATAAAAGAGGGAAGAAAAGGAGAGTAACTTATAATAAAATTTAATACATATTTTTAAAGTTAATGCTTAAATGTTTAGAAACAACTTCATAAAGAAGTAAACAAATGCTTGCAACTAGCTATTACTAATGTTTGAATTAAGACAGATATAACAGTTACAATAATGGTCTCCAGTGAATCATGTCTCCCTGTGTTTACACACTCCTTTACAATGGTGACATTGATGGTCTTGCTATCCATAGTGAAGTTTATTTTCCCACCCCTTTGACTCTCTGCTGGCCCTAAACCAACTTAGACAATAGATGCAGGAGGAAGTGACTTTGAGCTAGTTTCTCCCCTCATACTTTCAGAAACCTGTGACGACTTTGATGTGGGTTAGTCAGGACAGAAAAACCATGTGAAGAGATAGCCTAAACCAATACAGCTGGTCCATCTAAGGCTAGTCCCAACCAAATGCCAGCTTAGTCAGCTGAGTCCAGTGAGACCAGCAGCAGAACAGCAAGCCAACCTGCAGAATGATGGGAATTATAATTGTTGCTGCTTTAATCCACTGATTTTGAGGACAGTTTGTTATGTAGCCACAGATACAAGTAAGGAGCTCAGAAATCATTCTTTCTGGTATGCAACTGTATTGTAGTCTGCGGCCCCATCTACTGAATGTCAGCTGTGTTCCTTAATCACTAAGCAATTTAAAATGCTCCCTGCAGATATCACTCCTCTACCACATTGGTCTGGCCATATCTGCTTTCTAGTTTGTCTCTTGCAATTTTCCTATTCAATCTTCCACTGTCACCCCCACCTTAGCCATACTAGACCAGCCACTGACCTCTGCATAGGTTTTGTGCTTTTCCTCTTTGGCCCTCTCTCTATGATGTTTTAGCCAAGAATGTGCTTTTCTCTATGAGTCAACTTTCTCCCAACCTTGAACATCAGAGCACATTCCATTGTCTCCATAAGGCTTTCCCTGGTCTACTTTCCTACCTCCAAAGTTGGAAGTACACATGTAGCCTATATTTGGTGCATGACATGCTCTGTTCGTGCCATCCCATACTTTTTGGGTTCATGTTGATTTCTTAGATGTCTTTTTAGCCCTCAGTGCACCCAGCATCTTGCACATAACATATCTTGAGAAAGAGGCACTGCCTGATTCCATTCTTCCTTCCCCAAATCTGTTATTTGAAAAATCTTTGGTTAAACTGCCAACTGGGATGTGTGTAGGTATAGCCATCAGCTGCCTCTATAGGGGCAACTTAAGAAGCAATCTCAGAAACACTAAAAGCCTACAAGTCTCCCTCAAGGCCTACCAGGTGCTACACTTCACCTAGACTTGAACTTCTCACTGCTAGACTCATTTAGGCCACCACTCATCATTGTTGGGAAAGGCAGACCAGACCTGGTAACCCCAGGACTAAGGAGTATAAAGGACAGGCCAAATTCATTGGGGTGGGGATGGAAACAGTAATAAACTTTCTGAGGCTAGGAATGGTGTTTTGAGTGGAAACTTGGGATTCTGGAAAGCTAGAATGATGAAAGGAAAACTTTGTTTACACCCTTGTGTGTACAGCCCTGTTAATCATTCCTTGCCTCTGTGTCCCCTTTATTTATCTGTGCATATGGATGTATGCACATGGATTTAACGGAATGTGTTTAATAGGCAGGCTTTAAAATGGAATGCTTAAAAAAAAAGAAAACAAAACAAAAAAAATGGAATGCTTATAGTATATGCAAAGCTCTGCAGCTAACTCCAGGGTTGACCTCTCTGAATCTGGGTTGTCATGAGTTGGTTTGTTTTCCAACTCTTCTCACTCCCCCCACAAGCAGAAGCATTTTAATGTCCAGTCTAAGAGGAAAGGACTTACCAGAGAAGCATTGGTGATTTGTGCCAGCGGGGCTGAGGCATTGAACACAGTTGTATTCACTGTAGATGAGCACAGGACATGGAGAAGGGTCAGCAGCTTCTAGTTGGGGATCCTGGAAACATTAAGAGCCCCCAACCCTTTCTCATCTTCCTCCAGTTCCTTAGCACTAAGAATTGATTTCCCTTGCAGTTTCTTAGCACTAAGAATTGATTTCCCTTGTGAGGGCAGCTCATCATGCCCACCCCCTCTTCACCTTCTTCACTTTTCCCTTGTGAGGAAAAGATTTGTGGAAGGGAGCCTGGCCATTCAGACAGAACAACTGGATCAGTCTAGAACAACTCCTGCCTGACAGCTGGTTTTAAAAACTGAAATAAAGAATTTGGTGCTGAGACAAGTTGATGATGTGGCCACTAGACCTATTTCTGGGCTGTTAGACTTAAGAAATATTTTCAAAGTACTAGCTCCATGACACATTTGGGGCCATGATCCCATCCCAGGCAGGCTGGCTCAGAGCCTATAAAGCTCCCAGCTCTGTCCAGAGAGCATCCTCATCCTGTTCCCCTCTACCAACACTTCAGTTCTCTCCCACCTTTCTCCTTACACATTTTGGGTTTTTTTTTTTTTTAGTAAGTCAGCTGGACCTATAAGAACTTGTTTGCTTTGATATTATTTTCCCTAATCTACGGGATCTAGGACCTAAAGGAAAATAAGGAACCCAAAAGTGCTGTTCTCAGGCTGTTCACTAGGTATCCCTTGCCAGGCACTCCCCTTCCCTGACCTCAGTATCCCTAAATGCAAGTGGAGCATCTAAGGGTCCCTTCAGAACCATGAGGAAAGCTGGAGGAGCCATAATATGCCTCCTCTTATTTCCATGTGGCTTCTTCCACTTCCCCTTTTACACTGTTGGGGCTTCTCATGCTCCTTCCAGTGGGAAGAGCTCATCACTAGTGAGCCCAGGCTCCTTAGGCAATGGGGCCCCTCATCACAAAGGCAGTCTTTGGAGAACTACTGCTTGCCCTCTCTTTTCCTCCTGAGCTGAAGGGTGGAAGTAAAGGCCAAGTTCTCCTCCCCTTCTTCCTCCTCCAAGCAATTCCTATACAGCAAGTTTGGGGAGAGAGGGAGGCCCAATAACAGTTTTCTTGAAGTAAATCTGAAATGTAGTGCAAACCCCATTTGTACTTGCTGGCTGTCCACATTTGGTTAGAAACTCAGAGAGAAGCAGAGATAAATCTTAAGGTTCCCTCAACCTCCAGCAAACTGTCCATAGGACTGTATATGATCACAGGGCTCACTTCTGGGGCAGCTAGGACGGGTGGCTAAGGAACTCAGTCTTGACCCAGAGCAGAATACTCCTAGAAGTTCTATACAAACCCACAGGTTTGTTAGGATTATTCTGAAGAAAGCTTTACTTATTGGAAATTAGACATATCTGTTACCTTCCCTCACACTGCTGACCAGGAGAAGAACATGATGTATAGTTAACAAGAGAGAAGCTGGGCATGGAGGCTTGATGTTTCATGGAGTTGGGATCAATCCGCAGGCCTTGCTCATGCTAGGCAAACACTCCACCTCTGTGCTGTATCATCGACCTCATCAATTCTTTTTTTATATCAAGAATTTCATGGGGGCCTGGAGTGTGTAGCTCAAGTGGTAGAACATCTGCCTAGCAAGCACAAGGCCCTGAGTTCAAACCCAGCATCACCACCAACAAAAGAAAAAATAAGAGTTTCATGGGATTTTCCTGAAAGCCACTTGAGATGAAAATGGAATAAATACAACATGGGAGATTTCAGAAAGGGTCCATATATCAAAGATTGTAAAATTCTAGTGTCTACAAAGTAGTACTCACTTGGGGTTGAAAGCAGCCGAATCAGTGTTGGCAGCATCCATAAATAGAATACAAATCAGTTACAATGGAAACAAAATTAAATATGAGGAGTTTCCCAAACAAGCTTTTATGATGAAGAGTGATAAAAAATAACAGTATACCATAGTTAGACTGGATTTTGCAGCAAAGCTAGGAATGCAGGGTAAATAGTAAGTAGGTGGCCCATGGATTGGGAAGAAACCATAGTTAATGTCCCCCCTCCTTAGACTCCTAAATCTAGAACTTTCCTTTCTATCTTCTCCTAATCAAAACTAACGTCCTCATCTCAGTTTCTGTATTCCCTGTGAAAAAAACAGAGATCTTATCTTACTGGGGCTAGTAGCTAATACTGAGGTTCAGTATTACTAATTAATAATTCAGTACATCAGGGATTCTGAAACTTGAGAGTGTATCAGAAGCCTCTGGAAGGCAAATATGATTGGACCCCACAACAGAGTTTGTAAATTCAACAGATCTGGGGCAGAGCCCAAGAATTTCCATTTCTTTTTTATTTATTTATTTATTTATTCATTATTATTATTATTATTATTATCTTTGCAGTAATGGGGCTTGAATTCAGGGCCTTCACCTTGAACCATTCTGACAGCCCTTTTTTGTGATGGATATTTTCAAGATAGGTCTCGTGAACTATTTACCTAGGCTGGCTTCAAACCTTGATCCCCCTGATCTCTGCCTCTTGAGTAGCTAGATTATAGGCATGATCCACCAGTGCCCAGCAAGAATTTCCATTTCTGACAAGTTCCCCAGAGAGTGCTGACAAGTCCCCAGATAGTGCTGGTGCTGCTGGCCTGGGGATCACACGTTGAGAACCAAACAATAGCATGACTCCAGAGAATTAGGCACATGGGAAAGACCAGAGGGGAAGCTATTTGGAAACAGGCAGCTTTATATGCCCCTCAAATTCTACTTTGTATGCTCCTATCCCCTGTTCCTAGGGCACCCCTAGATTTGGTTTCTCCTGTGGATAGATGGTTCCCAAAGTAGCCAAAGCTTCTCATATAACTCCAGTATCTGAACTGTTTCTAAAAAGTCAAGGTCTGGGCTGGTAGTATGGCTCAAGTGGTAATGTGGCAGGAAGGCAGGAGGGGGAAGGGAGATAAAGACAGACAAGGAGTGCAACAGTGAAGCAAAAAACAAAAACTGATTTGAGAAATGTCATATAGCACCAGGGGTGAGGCTAGAGAAGGGGTACCTCGCCCAGAGGTTAAAATGGCCAATGAAATAAAATGTGACCATGTATGGGACAGGCTGTACCCCCCATTTCTGTAACCTGCTCTAAGTGGTATCTAAGGAAGGCCCCCTTTGCTCTCAGGGCTCAGCCTTTGGATGTGAATCTGGTGAGTCACTGCTGGTCTACTTAATAAACTTGCTTCCCTAAAGCTTTGGTGCCCCATCTCTCTGTCTGAGCCATCCTACAACATTTCTGGGGGCTCATCCAGGGTTCAGAGGGTAGTGTTTTCACCTCCTTGTTGACGGCTCTGCATCCCCAGCCTGCCAGAAGCCACCTCTGCTAGGCACCACCGGACGTGTTGATCTGAGGGGAGGGAGTCTCTCTCCTGATGAACCAAGGAGGTGAGTTTCAGTCACATGAAGAAACCCAGAAAGGCTTGGGAATCAACTTGGGAACCTTGCTGATCAGACTTGTAAGAACCCAGGTTTGAATTTAGGCCTGCCTTAGGAGGCAGAAGGGGAGTCTGATCAACTCCCAGCAAAGATACACAAGTAACCGCCTTTTGAGGTGAAACCGTGTCTCTCAGGTTCAGGGAGTGAGGTAGAAGTACTGTGCTGTGTGGGAGTGTGTGAAAGTGCAAGCCTGAGATGCAGCCCAGCTACGAAGCAAGTGCAGAGTCCTGATCTGTGGGTCCATGGTGAACTCACATGGTCTGGGGTGAGCCCTAACAGGGAGTCAAGTCTGGGGTTTACAAGGACTCACTATAGCTAAGACACACCTAAATCCCTACAAGGGGAGTGGCCAGAGACAGATGAAGCAAGTGGTGTTATTTGTGTTCCCCTGTGTGCTGGAAAGGAGAATCCCTTACCTTCTCTCCACAACCCCCATCCCTTCCATTTTTGTCTGTCTTGACATCTGGCAATGGGAGGAATGGGAGGTCAGAGTAAGAACATCCCACTGGGGTGCATGCTTAAGAACTTTAAAAAGGTATTTAATGGAGATTACAGAGTCAAGCTGACTCCTGACAAGCCTAGAAACTTCTGTGAAATAAACTGGCCTGCTTTTGGTGCAGGATGGCTCTCAGAGGGGTCATTAGATAATGTCATAGTCAATAGAGTTTCTGAAGTGGTTGTAGGGCATCCTGGACACCCAGATCAGTTTCCTTATATTGACTGCTGGCAGGATGCAGTCCACAGTCAGCACACGTAGCTAAAGCCCCACCTACAGTAAGCATGTAGAGTCATGGTAGCCAGGTGGCAGTGGCTTCCAAGTGCAGGGAAAAATGTAAAAAGCCAGAGAAACCCAAATTAGCAAGGGGTCTTAAGGAGACCCCCACCCTTATGGGTGCCACTGTATCCATTTTTGCCACTGCTTTCTGCCCCTTCGCCTCCACCTTCAGAAGGGGAAGCAGCATCAGACAGGGAAGCCCCAGCATCAAATATGCCTAGAAGGCCAGGCCCAGAAGTCCTTGAAACTGCAACAAACCCACTTTCCTCAGGCCCCATGAACCTCATGCTCACTCCAAGCCCACCAGTCCTCACTCCACAGCTCCCTGCGAGACTTGCCCCTAAGTTCAACCAGGAACATTTGAACAGTCCCAATACAGGCCTAGCCTCTCCCCCAGAACCCACCACCCTGAAGATGCCCCTGAGGGAGGTCCAGGGCCCAATATATTATGACCAGCATGGTAGATACAAGGAGGAAGGTGGACATTGGTCTACAGGCCTTTACCACCACAGACCTCCTAAATTGGGAGCACCATACCCCCTCCTTTATGGAAAAGCCTCAGGCTCTGATTGATCTAATGCAGTTAGATCCATCATCTAAACTCATAAGCCCACCTGGACAGACTGCCAATAGCTTCTTCCGACTCTATTTAATACAGAGGAGCAATGCCATATAACCTCAGCAGCTCTAAAGTGGCTGGAAGATCATGCTCCTGTGGGCACTTTAAATGCCCAAGCCTAGGCTTAGGACCACTTCCCTGAGGAAGACTCCCA